AGACTTTACTAAATGTTCAGTCAGGGTTTAGATCATATCATAGTACAGAAACGGCCTTGTTGAAAGTTCTAAATTGAAAGTTCTATATCTTGATTTAGTTTTACTAGATCTTAGTGTAGCATTTGAAACCATTGATCCCAATATCCCAGTCTCCCGCCTAGAAAAGACAGTGGGAATTCGGGGCATGGCACTCGATTGGTTCAAATCCTTCCTTTTTAATAGAACGTTTTCAGTTCATTTTGGTCAACGTTATTCTGAAATGACCCCATTGTCTAGTGGGGTTCCACAAGGATCCATTCTTGGCCCAATTTTGTTTTTAGTATACACTGAACAAAATTATAAACGCAACACTTTTGTTTATGCCCCCATTTTTTATGAGCGGAACTCAAAGATCTAAGACTTTTCTATGCACACAAAAGGCCTATTTTTCTCAAATATTGTTCACAAATCTGTCTAAATCTGTGTTAGTGAGCACTTCTCCTGACTGGTTTTCGGACCCCCCCGGACCCCCCCATTTTTTTTATATATATTTTATTTTATTTCAAGAAAAGGTCAGAAGTGTGTCTGACCTGCTGTCTGAGATCTTTCCCAGAAGCTTGTCCTCGTCGGATACTCTTCCCGCCGGTGGATGGCGGCGGGTCCTCGTGTTGTCCGAACAGCTCCTCGATGGCTCGGATGTCGATGTGGAACGGCGTCCCCCCGCTGGGCCGTCCGAGGGTCCACAGGTTCGGTCCGTCATGCTGTTTGACACGATCTTCAGGAATCGGTTTCCAATAGAAACTTCTCACCCTCCTCTTCCTCTCCGCAGGGATTCCCACAGGCAGGGGCGGAGGAAGGGGAGGAGCCAGGGGTGGGGCGTTGATGGGGGCGTGGCCATGCAATAAGGGAGGAGGGGTCATTAAAACACTGACCCCGCCCTCTTCATCAAAACTCTGGCTCTCATTGGCCAACAAGACACTGCTCATAATAGGAGATGTGGGTGTGGTCAGAAGATGATTGACAGCAGACGGTATGACATCATCAGGGTGTTTCTTAAAGCCACGCCCCCCTGAGATGGATGCTTGAACGCTATGAAGACGCAATCAGAAGCTTCTGTAATAGGAGAATTAACACCAAACACATTAACGGGACGCAAATCAAACTGTAAATATTCAACTAGACTTTTACATGTTGACATCCTCTGGCATTTGTGCACAATTAAACACACTTGAGTGACGGTACAAACACACTGAGGACCCAATGAACAACAAACTCATCATTGTTTTATAGAACACATCCAGTTTGTCCTAAATAATGTATGAGCACTAAACACAAGCAAGAGAAAGAGCATTCATGTCAATCTGTGTGCTTGTCCAATAGTTCCTGAAATAGAGTATAATGAAACCATCTTTTAACAGACACCTTTAAGATATCGAGAGATTAATTCAGATATTCACTAATAAATCCATTGGCTGACGTCATGTGATCTTTACAAGATGACATCACAGTTTATTACGGAACAAAATCCATATCAGTTTTCTGCACACAGCAAATATTTACACATGAACAACCAGGACAATAGAGGCACAACCGCACCTGTCTGTATGGAAATGATGCATTATAGAAAATATAGGGTGAATTAAATTAAACTAATAATGAGAAAATCGTACATCAAATGACTTCAGCATCAGAAATAATTCACCATCATCAGTGTGTTTCACTAAATCTGCTCTTGGTGATTAATATGATGTTTCACTATTTCATTACATGATAACACACAATTTCTCAATATAACAACATTCATAAATATGATATTTTAAACATAAGCTGCTCTCAGTGGAATAAAAAATAACAGTAGAAATCATTCTTATGGAGTAAATAAAACATTTCAGAATTAAACTGAGAAATCAAACTATAATCAAGCAGACAAGCGTAAGTAAACTCCACTCGTTTAACAGCTGTATCATGAAGATAATAACGCTTATGTAATATGAGTCCCTCATGAAAACTATGATACACAAATCAGTATAATATGTATTAACAACTGATCAGTGATGAAGAAAATAAGCTTACATGAAAACGTTCCTAAAGATTGCTTCAGTCACAGCACTTTAACTGATATAAACATAGCTGTAATAAAAATCACCCGAATTATGAGATATTTTCATAACTTAAACATTAATTATATTATATTACCTTAATTCCATTAAAAATGGAGCTGAGTGGATATTCCGTGCGTCCGTGAGTTTGACAGGAGCTCTTGCGCATGCACACACCACACGAACGAACACATACACACACACACACACACACACACACACATACTTAAGTAAAACACAATACACTCATATATTTATATTAGTACAGAGTCTAATCTGAGTAAAGATAAAGCATCTAAAGCAGAGTAATGGACAACAATCATGGCATAAAATTATGCAAACTGTACATGCTTAAATGTTAAAGCAGATGTGTAAACAGTCTTGTGTGTGTGTGTGTGTGTGTGTGTGTGTGTGTGTGTGTGTGTGTGTGTGTGTGTGTGTGTGTGTGAGACTGATAACAGCTCTGCTCGTCACACCCAGCATCAGTAAACTGTCAGTCCTGCCATTTTCGATGCGTTTTATTATTTACATGATTTGCCAAAGAATGAATACAAATAGTAATTTACAGTTCTGGTTAGAATTATTGGCACCCTTGGTAAATATGAACAAAGAAGCCTGTGAAAATAAATATGTATTGTTAATTGGATTTTTTCTTGAAACTCTCCAAAACAACATGTGGTAATGTAGATGCTGGCCTTCGTGTTTCCTCATATTCATAGTTAGACAATTGCATGTTCCTAGTCACCCTTCTGTGATAAAAATAAAATAATAATAACAAAAAATAAATAAAAAATTAGAAATAAAGCAAAAAACAACAAGTATTAACACCTTTTACAACTTTTTTTTTGTTGTTTATAAAAAAAAATGCTAACCCCTCCCTTTATTGCCCCACCCCCAAATGTAAGAGTGGATGTCTCTCTCATAGCTAAAGCGATGCTTCAGGAAAAATCAAGCAAAGATGACGAAAGAAGACAGGGAAGAACAAAACCTGAACACACACTACATAAGTTGTTAGAGCTAACATCCAGAGGTGGAAAGTAACGAATTACATTTACTCGCGTTACTGTAATTGAGTAGTTTTTTTGTGTACTTCTACTTTTTTAAGTAGTTTTTAAAATCTGTAATTTTACTTTTACTTAAGTATGTTTTGTTTGCAGTATTGTAATTCGCTACATTTTAAAACATATCCGTTACTGAGTAAAAAAAAATGCTTTGGGTGAAAACATCGCGCTCCGGAAACTACAGCATTGATTGATTGAAGGGCGGGAGAACAGACGCGCTAAAATCACAAAACAATATGGAGAAGGTGACGGACAAGACAGACAGTGATGCAGACCCAGCTGAACGCGAAATGCTGTCGAAATCTCACTCGCACACATAACCGGTATGTGAAGCCTTGGTCAGGGAATACTTTTGGATATAGAAAGAAAATGGAATTTACAGTATAACACTGTCACGTAAAACATGCAGATAATGGATGAATAAATCGAAAGTAAAGCTGTACAATAAATCAAATCACGCCATGATCTGTGAATATTAAAGCACAAAAGACTGCTATGTAAATATATAATCTGCTTGTTCTGTGTGTCTCTGTGTGAATGAGCTGTGCTGTTTCGTCTACATACTCAAGTACGCGACGCGCTCATGGTGTTTTCAGCGTCTCACAAACAATACGAGTAGGCCTACATGAATACATGAACATTTCCAGAGCTGCTCTGAGAGAACGCCTAATGAGCATTTTCCTAATTTTATTTGAGAAAAACCATTGTCAAATACACTCTGAAACAGGACTTAACAACCCGTCAAAATAAAAGTTCGGTTTTACTAGAAATTATGACTACGATTTTAGGCCTACACAATAGAATGTACTTCTCATAATAATATTAACAACAACAATAATAATACTACAATGTATTTAAACATTATTTAAGGAATATATATTATTTGTCCATGGTTTGAGTAAATCTGTTTTGCAGCACTTTGCCATAAACTAAAAGGATAAAACGTTTGCTAAACTTTTATTTGATTACCACCGTTTTTGATAATATATTTGTATTAAATCATAAAAAGAAAAAAAAATTCTGAATAAGAAACATTTCATAGAACTCTATTTTTAAAATTTTTAATTAGTTATTAATGATAAAAATAAGTTGTTAATCTAATTCATAATCAATTATTGAAATTAGTAGATTAGATATGTTTTATTGAACAAATGTTTCATTTATTTCATTTGTCATTTTAACTGACATAATTTTAATTTTAACCATAATTTAATAATACAGTTTATATAAACCGTGATATTTTCTGAGACGGTTATCATACTGTGAAACTCATCGGTTACAGCTCTGCACGGGAGAGTCCCCCACCCCGCCCCCGCTGTGAAACAAGTTACTCAGCAACTTTTACTCTGAGTAAATTTTAAATGAGCTACTTTTTACTTTTACTTGAGTAGATTTTTAGACCGGTACTTTTACTTGTAATTAAGTAAAATTTTATTAAAGTAATAGTACTTTTACTTGAGTAGAAAATTTTAGTACTCTTTCCACCTCTGCTAACATCACAACAACAGCATTGGTTCTGTGAATCGTAGTGAAACCAATGTTACTCACATATGGAGCAGAAACAACACAACCTCACGTCAGTTTTCAGGCCTTACTGCTTCAGTCTGGAAAGCTTTTCTAATGTTAAAGATCGTAACCCTTCTTCTTCCAGTGATAATCCTCGGAGCTTTTCTCTTTTGTAATGTCTCTCAGCCATCTCTCTTTCTACAGTCTTTCTTCAAATCTCCCTCTTGCTCACTCTCCTCCTTCATAAGTGGTAAACTGTAATTCGTTACAGTGGACACGCCCCCTACTGCTGATTGACTCTCTCCTCCCCCATCATGAGTGGACACGCCCCCTACTGCTGATTGACTCTCTCCTCCCCCATTATGAGTGGACACGCCCCCTACTGCTGATTGACTCACTCTCTCTCCTCCCCATCATGAGTGGACACGCCCCCTACTGCTGATTGGCTCACTCTCTCTCCTCCCCCATCATGAGTGGACACGCTCCCCCTACTGCTGATTGACTCACTCTCTCTCCTCCCCCATCATGAGTGGACACGCCCCCTACTGCTGATTGACTCACTCTCTCTCCTCCCCCATTATGAGTGGACACGCTCCCCCTACTGCTGATTGACTCACTCTCTCTCCTCCCCCATCATGAGTGGACACGCCCCCTACTGCTGATTGACTCACTCTCTCTCCTCCCCATCATGAGTGGACACGCCCCCTACTGCTGATTGACTCACTCTCTCTCCTCCCCCATCATGAGTGGACACGCCCCCTACTGCTGATTGACTCACTCTCTCTCCTCCCCCATCATGAGTGGACACGCCCCCTACTGCTGATTGGCTCACTCTCTCTCCTCCCCATCATGAGTGGACACGCCCCCTACTGCTGATTGGCTCACTCTCTCTCCTCCCCCATCATGAGTGGACACGCCCCCTACTGCTGATTGACTCACTCTCTCTCCTCCCCCATTATGAGTGGACACGCTCCCCCTACTGCTGATTGACTCACTCTCTCTCCTCCCCCATCATGAGTGGACACGCCCCCTACTGCTGATTGACTCACTCTCTCTCCTCCCCATCATGAGTGGACACGCCCCCTACTGCTGATTGGCTCCCTCTCTCTCCTTCCCCATCATGAGTGGACACGCCCCCTACTGCTGATTGACTCACTCTCTCTCCTCCCCATCATGAGTGGACACGCCCCCTACTGCTGATTGACTCACTCTCTCTCCTCCCCATCATGAGTGGACACGCCCCCTACTGCTGATTGACTCACTCTCTCTCCTCCCCATCATGAGTGGACACGCCCCCTACTGCTGATTGACTCACTCTCTCTCCTCCCCCATTATGAGTGGACACGCTCCCCCTACTGCTGATTGACTCACTCTCTCTCCTCCCCCATCATGAGTGGACACGCCCCCTACTGCTGATTGACTCACTCTCTCTCCTCCCCATCATGAGTGGACACGCCCCCTACTGCTGATTGGCTCCCTCTCTCTCCTTCCCCATCATGAGTGGACACGCCCCCTACTGCTGATTGACTCACTCTCTCTCCTCCCCATCATGAGTGGACACGCCCCCTACTGCTGATTGACTCACTCTCTCTCCTCCCCATCATGAGTGGACACGCCCCCTACTGCTGATTGACTCACTCTCTCTCCTCCCCATCATGAGTGGACACGCCCCCTACTGCTGATTTGTTAATCCCGCTTTCACCACGATCACTGACAAGTTGAAGAAGTCATTGATGTAGCTTCCAGTGTTAATTCATTAAAACACAACTAGCTGAAATAAAATAAGTTTAAGATTTTTTATTTCAAGTAATGATGTTTTTTTAATGATGTGTCTTTATGGTTTTAATTTTAGTTAACAATAACAACAACCCTGTTTTGCTTTTTAGCCAGAAAAAAAACATCAGTAAAAGAGAAAACACTCACATTAATTTGCATATTACCTGAAAGCGCTCCTGGTTTCCTGGATAGGTCGTGTTTTCCAGCATCACCACCATCTTTAGGATCAACGGCACACATTCAAATTCTGTCCTGAAGATTTAATCTGAGCCGAAACTGAGACACTGAGACACTATTGTCTGCATCCAAAAGATGACAAAAATGTAAATTAAAGGGGGAAAATTTCAAATGTGACACTGATACATATGGTGATAATCATGACAGGAGTATGACTTCAACTTCAACTTTTATTTATTTATATAGCACATTTAATAGCAACGTTGTTGCCCAAAGTGCTTCAGTTAACTCAAAACAATAAGACATTCATGTATAAAAGCATGTATGAAACTAGACCATACACTCTTACACATAACTCCCTCATATAACAATATAGTGAGGACAGTGTAGAAAGGATTTAAAATAATAAAAACTAAAAATGACTAAATTATATCTACACTGTACAATGCACTTAACTAAAAGCTAAGTTAAAAAGATACGTTTTTAATTTGGACTTAAAGCTTTCTATTGTGTGAGCTAGCCGGACATGAGCGGGAAGAGTGTTCCACAGCCTGGATACTGAGAAGGCTCCGTCACCCTTTGTCTTCTTTTTGGAGTAAGGGACCGTCAGCAAAAGTTGATTTGTTGATCTTAATGTCCTGCCTGATTTGTACGCTCCTAAAAGGTCAACAGTGTAGTTTGGGGACATGTTATGCATAGCTTTAAAAACCATTAATAAAATCGTATCCTCAATCCTGTAGTGAGCCGGTGGCCAATGAAGACAACGCAGTACTGGAGTAATGTGGTCCTTGTTTTAGTGCCAGTTAGAAGCCTGGCTGTAGACGGCACAGTTGACCTTGGCATATTGTATGAGATTAATATCAGTATTCATTATTAAATTACTAAAAAAAATCAAACAAAAA